TGTGCGTTTGTAGGAACAGTGAATTTGTGTTAGAAATGGACAAAGTTTCCAAGTCCCTCTGCGCAAGTGGTAGTTGTTTTCCCCAGTGGTGTGGTGCTACAAGGAGTAGTAGAGAGCAGAGCTTTTACTGAGTAGCTCCTTATCACTTTGATAGTGGGTGTCTGTGCCAGGGCCCCACCCGCTCCGAGCAGGGAAAGCTTAATGCCCTTCTCCACGAGTGTTGCCGTGGTTCACTGCAGAGACCATCCCTGTGTCACCCGCTTTGCTGTGGGGTGACGTAGCCGAGGGGTGTGAAAACGCCTCCGTGCTTCGAAGAAGTCCCCTGTGGTGGCAATTCTGGCTCTTGCGTGGGACCAGCCCGTCGCGTGCGGTGCCGGTCAGGCCATTAGCATCCAGATTGGGATGCTGGCACCATTATTTTTCATTTTGAGACTCAAGAGCCCTGTGAGGAGAGCATGTGTGCTGCTGAGCAGCTCGCTCCCACGAGGGAGGTGAGGAACCTTCTCTTAGTAGTGATAAATGACTACAGGCCATGCCAGAGCCATCACACGAGGGGGTTGCTGACGTGGTTCTTGAGGTGCATTTGTTGGGCAGAGCGTCTTGTTTGGAGATCCGAGTGGGAATGGAGGAGCACACCCTGGTTTCAGTGGTCAGGGATCAACGTGATGCTGTTGACTCTTGAGGACAATTTGTCACCAAAGTCAGCGTCTGCTCAATGCTGGTGCCATGGTAGAACCCAACCAGCTGCACACTCTGCAATTTTATCAAGTTATAATTCAGTGTCTTAATTCGGAAGGGAAAAAACCCCTTCCAGCGAGTGCACAAAGTTGGTGGAGGATCTTTGTCATCCTTCCGTGTGGTCTTGACCCTCACAAGGGAGCAGGAGCCAGTTAGATGCCCTGATTCAGCAAAGCACTTCTAAGAACTTGCTTAACTTCAAGCACATGGTGGCTGATGTGCCGCTGCTTAAAGCCAAGTGTGTGCTTGGGAGCTTTGCTGGTTCAAGGTTGGTGGGAGCGGGGCAGGAGAGGCCGAGTGCTGCCGCGGCGTCACGAGATGCTGCTTGGAATGGACCAAGGCTCCTACTGTGGCTCGTTGGCTGAAGCCAGCCTGGCCCAGGGCGTGCCAAGGAAGGAGTGTCTTTTTGTCACCTGACACCTTTTTTTCAGTCATAAACGTAGTATTGAGAGCTTCTGTTAAGTCTGTGGATGTCTTTGGGCTGTGGTTGTCTTCAGCACAGATGACGAAAGCGTTGCTCTTCAGGAGCAACATGCCAGCTTGTGTGGTTTAGGGTGCCCAGGCGGGGGGAGATGCGCAGGGGAAACTGCAGCATTTTCAGTAGCGAAGCCCACTTTGAGAAGTTGAGGGGAAACCTCCATTCTTCAAAGATTTGGGACACTCTTGATCTCGAGTTGCTTCCAAGTGTCTTTTCTTCCATTGGGTGTTTATAACCTTGGAAGAGTTCCTACCCCAAAAGAGAAAGCACGAGGGTTTTGCTGATAAACTGAACGCAACACTAACACAAGCTTTTGTTTTTGCAGAGTCTCCACCACCTCCCTACTCTCGGCTGTCTCCTAATGATGAGCAAAAGCCACTGGGTACGTGTTTTGTCCTTTTTTGATCTCCCGGCAGCTCTTTCAGGGTGCAATCCTGGTGGTTCTAAGACATGGCACATCAGGCAAAAGCCAACAAGTTGGGATTTTATGGCTGCTCGTTATTTCTGAGCAAGCATCAGCTGACAGGTTTTAAGAAGTAGATGGATGTCAGTTTATCATACCAAATTACCGTGTAGACACATGCATATTTTCCAAAATAATATGAAGCGCTATTTTTAATGAAGGCGTAATGAAAGGTTACCAGACGTCATGTTTTGTCTGCGTGTGTAATCTGCGGCATGATGGAGCGAAGGGGGAGTGGGTGCCATTTCCATACCATGGAAGAACCGGCTATTATCCTTCCTCTCCTTATTAAAATGAGACGTAAACTCTTTGAAACTTGGTGCTGTGTAATTTCTGGGTGGTGTATCGCTTATCCTGATGAATTATGAAAGTCCTTTTTTAAAAAAGCTGGGGAGGGCTGCCTGGGAGGTTAGGCTGGGCATGAAGGGCTGCTGCAGAGCCTGGCACGTGCACCTTGATCCTGGTCCTGCGTGGTGGACCGTGGCTCGGAGATGTTTTGAAATCGGCGCTGCTGCATTCTGACCATCCTTTCTCAGCGCCCACTTCTTCCTCAAGTTGACGGGCAGCAAAGATGTGGGAGGGAAGGAAGGAATCCCATGTCCATCTTGATTTTTTTTGCCGGGATGGGTGCAGCTGTGGCCGTGTGGAGCATGGGATTTCTCCCTCCGTCCCGTAGCCGGTGTCTCGGACACGCAGGGTGGGTAATGACGGAGGCAAGCGGCTTTGGCAGGGGCTTGGAGGAGGCAGGCGGGGGGTTCCTGGGGGGG